CAGGGCTCAAACCTGTGTCCCCTGCATTGGCAGGCGGATTCTTAACCACTGTGCCACCAGGGAAATCCTATGTTTCTGTTATTAATAACAGAGTCAGGAAACAGGGTTGCCAAGTGAGAAGTGTCCAGTTGGGTAGAATAAGAGACACGGGCTTAGGACCAGGCCAGGGGGTATTTCTAGTCTTTAGATTTGATCACTGAAAGTTCTAAAATAAGAGCATACCTTACATTTGCATATCGCTTCAATGTCAGTCATAATAGCCAACATTTACTGAGTGCTTCGTCAAAAGTGTGTGAGGCGCTTTTCCATGGCTCATCTCATTTCTGTGAAATAGAACGGTTAAATTCAAAATCTCAGAGTAGAGGAAACTCTACCTTTTAAGAGCCTGAGTCTGAGTGAGGGTACAAGACTTGTCCCAAGTCACCTGGCTAATACGGACTGGACTTCCTTTCAGCTCTTAAATGCTGAGATTGTATGCATGTTATTCACAGCTATGTTTTTAGTACAGTGCTTGCTACACAGTAGGCCCTCAGTAAGTATTTGCTGAATGAATGAATGAATGAATGAATGAGGAAAGGTGGGGCTAGGGCTCAGATCATATGCCTGCTTTTCAGGTACTTTTTCTAGTTACTTCGAAGATTAAATGAGTAACTATATGTCAAGTGTTTGAACATTCCTGCTATGTAATACGTAATCAGTTATGGTAGCTATAAACGTTACCCATAATCTCAGAATTAATTAAGTTTTTATGGAGAACTTCCATAGAAATAATCATTGATCAGCTTGAAAAACTTCATAATGAAATACATTGCTGTTGTCAGGTAAAGTTGATGCTTTTTTATAGTATTTTTTATGTACTATTTTATATTATATATGGATATTCTTGCCACTCTGGATATCACCCTACATTGAGATTTTGTTTACGACACTTACTCCAGAGTAAGATGGATTATTGTTTTGACTTAAACTCGAGCCAAGACTAAAAACGAGGCATTGTCAGCTCCGTTTTTACCAGGTGGTGGGAAGGGTAACCATGGGGGTTCCAGGTACTTCTCCTGGTGGCCTTTTCCTAGATCTGCCTGTGTGTGGTCTAAAGGCTGTCTCTGATTCATTGCTCTTCCTAACTGGAAAGTCATCAGAATTTCCCCAAACCCATGAGGACGGGTAGACTTAGTGCCAGCACATGAACATAGTGCCACCCCACTGAGCAGGTTTTGCCTAAGTTTCTTTAATTCAGTTGGAGGGAATTCTTAGGAAAGCAGCTTGCTCGTTTTACTTCCCATCCCACCCTCCCTGGAGGTGCAGAGAGCAGTCTCGGGTAAGTTGCCTCACACCCTTTCCTAAGGCCTGTCTTCCTAGGAACACCCCTAAATACGTCACTCGCTGGAGAAAAGGTTTCACATCTTTTAGTCATTTTTATCACTATGAGCAAGAAGCCTTATTGGTGACGTTACCACTTAGAAATGTAGGAGGTTATTATTCCAGCTGAAAGAGGCCATGCGGGGGGCTCTGGCCTTTTCAGACCACCACCTCTGCTCCCCCAGCCCCTCACTTCTCTCCAAGACAGCATGAGAAGTTTTCTAAAGTTGAGGCCATTCCAAGAACTAGGACTTGCGTCCTCATTATCAGGGGGTAAAGTTCTTTTCTTCTTCACACACAGTCCCCCATACTTTCTTGATTCTTGACATCATTGTGGGTTCGGTCATTTCTATCAGGACCAGTAGTGTGCGTCCTGCATTCTGTCCATACGGTGAAAGGGCACAGGACTGACCCCGAAGGGCCCCATGGAGCCTTGGAGAATTGGATTTTAGGACAAAGCACTAGGGTGGCTATGACCGTGGTATCTTTTCAAACTGACCTTCCCACCCATTCAGACCCAGGCTTCAATCTTGACTCCAGCCCACAGGCTGTGTGACCTAGCTGCTCCAGGCCCCGCTTCACCTTCCATTGGTGGGGTTGGCCACGTGGGCCTCAGCAGGACAGCGTGGTGACTGACCGTGACACGAGTGGGGAGCCTCCAGAGCGACCTGGTGCCCAGGGAGTGCTCGGTTGGTGGCGGCTGCTTGCCGCACCCTAACCACTGCAAAGGCAGACTTTTCATAGAAAAGAAGATCATTGTGTGGCTACCTATAAGACACCTGATTCCATGACAGAGGCCTATTGCCGCCTCCAGGAACCCTGTCCCCACACCTGAGAACCCCATGCCAGGCCGGAAGCAGCACAGAACATGTGAGGAGGCTCATCAAGGATGCCCCAGGCCCCCAGAGACCACCCAGCTGCTGAGCAGCTATGGTGCACCCAGAGAGTGGGGGAGATTCGGCCCAGGGTGGGAGGGATTCAAGGAGACTTACTGAGTGGATGACAAGGGAATGGAAAGCTGGGGGACCTAGCTGAATTCCAGTCAGATCAGTACGTGCTGGAAGTAGTGTCATATCCCTGAGCTGATCACACCTTGTCAGCCAGACTGACCCCACGAGCGCAGTGGGAGAAGTTGTCCTCTGCACTGTAATCGTTATGGCCCTCAGCACACACGGAGACGTCCAGCCTTACACTGATGATAATAAAGAACTGATTTGAAACACTGGTGGTCCGAAAAGTCTGAGTAGTTTTGCAAAGTATGGGGTAGAAAGTGTATGAGGGAGGATATAGGGGTAGGCAGTGCTGGAGTCTGGGCCACTTATAAAACCCATTTGTGTATATTCTATATTTACTGATGCCCTGGGAGCTGTGGAATAGAATTGGTTTTCGTTAAAGCCATAACAGATGGGGGCTGTGCCGTCTGTGGTATGCTGAAGTAACATCCATGACCAGAGGACCCTCCTTTGCACGAATTCCTATACAGTTCTTTAAGATTTAGCTCAAAACTCACCTTGCCACAAAGCATTTCCTGCTTAACGCCGCCCCTCTGGCATCATTCTGGAACTCTGAGGATCCAGCACTTAGATGTTTAGTCTTAATCATTGCAAATGTTGTCTTAAAAATCTCTAACTCTGGGGCTTCCCTGGTGGCGCAGTGGTTGAGAGTCCACCTGCCGATGCAGGGGACATGGGTTCGTGCCCCGGTCCGGGAAGATCCCACATGCCGCGGAGCGGCTGGGCCCGTGAGCCATGGCCGCTGAGCCTGCGCGTCCGGAGCCTGTGCTCCGCAACGGGAGAGGCCGCAACAGTGAGAGGCCCGCGTACTGCAAAAAAAAAAAAAAAAAAACCTCTAACTCTGGGTGTGTGTGTGGCTCCCCTACTCCCTCTACCCCCTTTTCTCTTTAAAATCTTTTAAATCCACCCAACTAGGGTCATTTTAGTTCAGGCCCATTTGCCCTTCACCTGGACCAGGCCCTGTCCCAGCCGGATGCCCTCCATTTCTCCACTCTGTGATCGGAGTGGTACCTGCACAGAGCCACTCTCATCTGGTCCCCTTCTGAGACCCTTCAAAGGCTTCCGGGCCCTTCACGTGGAGGCCAGGATTCTTCACGTGGCGGCGTCCTCCCCTCCAGGCCCTGCTCGCCAGGGCTTACTTTCCCCCCGCCCCTCCTCTTCCCTCCAGCGTCAAGCACCTCATGCCTTCCCTCCGTGCTGCTCCCTCAGAAAGAACACGCTTCCCTCTTCATCTGGCTGCCCCTCCCCACCTCCCTCAGGTCTCGAGCCCCTAGTCCTTCCCTTCTTCCTACTCTGTTATCGTTGTTTTGTTGCTGCTGCTGCTTCTGTTTGTCCCTCTGCTCCACGAGAAGGCACCTTCTGTGAGGACAGGGACTGTGTATCTCCAGGCCCTGGTGCACACGTGGCCTGGTGCAGAGAAGCAGACGTTCACCCAGTATGATAATCAATGAATAACTCACATAAGAGGGATTGAAAAAGATAATATACCTAAAGTATTTATCATTGTGCCTGGGACATGTTGGTCCTTATATGGGTCATTGATTCATTCATCAAATTGTTTATTAAGTGTCTGGCCACCCTTTAAGGGGACACAGCGGCAAACACAACGGGCATAAAAATCTCTGCCCTCGTGGGCCACACGTTGTGTGTGTGTGTTTCCCCTCTTGTCCCTTTCAGCCCCCTCCCGCGACCTTCCGCCATACCCCTCGTCTTAGGACACTGTTGCCCTCTTCTCCCCGCCCCACCTGGGACACAGGTCACCAAACTGCAGCCACTCCTGTCAGAATCACCTTCGCCTGGGAGGCAGCCCGGGGGCTTTTAGTAGATGCCAGCGGCCCCTCAGGCTGCTGAAGGAGGAATTACTTCCTCTGCCCTGTCTGGAATAAATAGGTCAGGAGTAAAATTAGAAAATCAAAAGCCCGAATCCTGGTGAAACGCTGCAGTGGAAGTGCTACTTACAGGACCTCAAAACTGCACGTGTTCTCACTTATCAGCCAGGACTGCAGAGAGCGGCCCGGTCGCCTGGAAGCCTTTGTAGAGCCAGGAATCACCTCCACTGCACCCGCCGCAAAGCCGGAGCATCCCCACCGCCCCCTCCGCCAGGAGGAGGAAGAGGGGGCTTGAGCTGTGCAGAGCCGCTGCTGCCCCCAGCCCTGACCGAGGCCCGCCGTGGGCGCTGCCTGCCCGCACAGTCAAGGCTGAGGAGCTGTGAAGAGAAGTCTTCACCTCCACGGTGACGCAGCCCTGAGAGGGAAGCGTCTCAAGGAGGCCCAGCCATCAGTATCCCAGTGGTGTGGTAGATAGTCTTTGTTGAACGCTGTCTGTACCTGGGCGGGGCCTGTTTCCCTCCCTGAGGTTTCTCACCCCACCTCGTCCCGTCCAGGTCCCTGCTCCTCTCAGCACACTGATGTCCCTGACCAGGGCCGGTGGGGTTGTGCCCTTCCTACAGGTGATTCACGTGTCCTCCAGAGTCATCTGGAAGCTGGATCTGTGGCCCCGGGGCTCACAGGCCCTCCGACCAGTCAGGGAAGGTGGGCTCCCTGCACCCTGCACACACGCCGCGTATAAACTGCTGCTGCTTTCCAATGGGGCTGTGAGATTGATTACATCATCCTGTTTTCGTTGCAGAAATTTCCAGAACTGAAATTCAAATATGTGGAAGAGGAGCAGCCCGAGGAGTTTTTTATCCCCTATGTCTGGTCCCTGGTGTACAACTCAGCAGTAGGCCTGTACTGGAACCCTCAGGACATCCAGCTGTTCACGATGGATTCCGACTGAGGACGGGACGCCGTCTCCCACCCTGACCCCCTCCAGCCAAGCAGCCCTTCTAGTCATTTTCTTTCTGGGGAACAGAGGTAGACAGATTCCCTGGTGCGTCTTCTGTTAAAGAGGGTCACACAGTCGTGTTTTCCTTGCACACTTGGGTTTGGAGAATTGGTGCCAGTTGGCAGTAGATCACTCAGTTTAGATTATAGTGCAAAAAGGGAGGGGAGTTACACAACAATAATAAATGTAAAAACCTGCTATTTCACATGCAATTTTATTTCTAAACCAAAAATCTAGAGCTTTTCCAGGAACCTGATGCCTTAGGCGTATAACACTGTACCAGTACATACTTCTTTTTCTTTTCTTTCTTTTCTTTTTTTTTCTTTTCCCCCCCTGCATGTTCAGGATTTTTGTTTTGGTCGTGTGTGTGTGTGTTTCAACATTGAGAAATACCAACCTGAAAAGATGACAAGACAGGAATTAATAAGGAAATGAAGCCGTGTATGCATGCAGTTGCCTTTCAGAAGGCCCATGATATAAGCCTGCGCGGTTGGATATAAGCCTTTAGATCCTGGAATCTTTCCCTCAAAGAAAGAAGTGGCTCCTTCTCATGCAGCCCGGATTAGCTTTTTTGTGGATTTGGCCTCTGAGCTGTAGCTGAATTAAGTTGGAGTCTAGACTAATAGGAGAAAAAGGAGACCGATTTGATTAATACAGTATTCCACATGAGAGTAAACACATGTTTTTCTCTCCACTTCTGACTTTGTTTAAACTCTTTGGGGCCTGTGTGATCGCAGTTGTCTCCCTGAGCTTCTCTGAGGGAAACAGCCGCTGGGGTCGCCCTGAGCAGAGCAGTGGGCACTGAGGACAGAGGGGACAGGCCTTTCGAGTCACGCTCTAGGTCCATGGCCACCCCTTCCCGGCCTAATTTCACTCTCAAAGACACAAGAAGTATTTGCTTTTCTGCATAGGAAGCACATAATCCCAGATGAGACCGACCGAGCACCCGTTTCAGCCTGCCGTTGCCTAATCTGTATCGGAGGCAGCTTCTCTCCCCGTCCCTGTGTCCCCGGCCTGGAGGCTGGAGTCATTTTGGTTCATCACCATCTTCTGAGGGTCTGGGAGGAGACAGCTTCTGTCACACCGAGCTCTGGGAAAGGCTGAAAGCATGACGTGTCAGTGCACGTCCATGTGGTTTCCGCTCATGAAAAGCCTGGCCGCTCCATCACCTCAGCAGCCTCTGAGGTCGGCCAGGCGGTTTCACCTTCATCAGGACAGGGGCTGAGACCGAAGCCCCCTGCGGCTGACTGACTGAGGAAGGGCCGTCACTGGCGGGTGGACCCAGGAGGCGTGTGCGGCCTGCCCGCTGCTTCCTCGGCCTCAGGCCTCTGACGTGTCTGCACGAGTGGCTGGGGACTCTGGTTCTTGCCTAAGGTCGCAAGGACAGGGCCTCAGACCCGCAGACGAGTCATGTGAAGCGCTTCTGCGTAGTCTGGCTCGTGGGGAGAGGCAGTTGGAAGGTGGAAGGAGGAATCCTCCAGTCAGAAAGGGGACATGATCGGATTATCATTTCAGGTAGCAATTATTTTTATTTCCTATATGGGAACGTGATATATAGCTTTAATTTGTTTCCAAAGCACTTTGATCTGCTTTCCTTCATTTAAACCAAAACACAATTTTTAAAGGGTCACATGGAGCAGCTGAGCCCCTGGTAGGACCCCAGAACTAAGAGTCACTGGGCTGCAGGACCGTCAGTTCTTGTGACAGGAGGAGATATGGTCCCCCAGAACTTGGTCATCGAGCGCAAACTACCAAGGAAGCCTTGACGAGGGAGTCCTGCAGTCTCTTCCCCAGGCCACCTGGCTCACCAGGTGCCCCCAAAGCCCCGTTCTCTGGCAGTGTCCTCTCCCTCCCTCCCCGCCACTTTTAATTAATCACACAGTAGAAGTGCTCGCTGGCCTAAAAGCTCAGCTGGGGCTACAGCCTCGGAGGAAGTGTGTGAGTACACACTCCCAGACACCACTGCATCACTGCTTCCACTCTGCAAATCCGCCAGGAGTCTCCTCTTTATTTTTGTGGAAGATTTATTACATGACAATAAATTTAAATGATAAACTTGAATTATGCTTGCATTAATTTGCTTAGAAATTGTTTGGTTTTCCACAAAGTAAAAATGTGTAGAATGAGGCAATACAGGACCATCATGTGTTTGAATGTAAATTAACAGCTGATTTTACCCAAGATACGGAGCTGTTATTGCAACGTGTCATCTCTTCAACAAAGGGTTCTGTCATAATATTTATTTTTAAAAGAATGTGCCCCTTTCAATAGCACCTTTCCTATCGAGAGTTCAAGGCACTGTGCAAAAAAGCTTCAGAATTATAACTCTGGTTCCCACATCACCCACTGAGGCTGGTGTCACAGGATCTGTAAACAACAGCCTCGCAAGGTTGGCATCACAGGATGGCCACCATTCAACAGTGCAGATGGAAGCAAGGCTGTGGAGCAGCTCAAGGACAAAGACAGAGAAAGGAAAGAAAAGAAGATCCCCGGAGCACAGAAAGTACACTGCACACACAGTCCTCTCCTTCGGAAGGAAATCGCAGGAACTGTAGAAGACGGAGAGAGGAAAGAACATAGGACCAGTGTCAATCAGAACACTCAGTAGCTTCCTCCAGCTTGTTTAGGGTACCCCCAAGAGGAACGTTTAGTGGGGGGTGCTTTTAGGCCCTAAATTTCTTAATATATCATTCTTTAGGCAACATACTGCCCTGTAGGTTCTGTGGAGCCAGGGTTTTGCATTAGACGTTGTAGCTCTCTGCATAACTGAGTCACTGCTTTCCAGAGCCATAAATTAGAGGTGTGGTACTTTCTGATACTTTATAAGCTTGAGTTTGCAAGGTCAACCCCTTGGTCTCTTAATCTCCTGCTAAGCACTATGCCTGCAGTTTCTGTAGCTGCCATTTGATATTAGGGGCTGATCCCTGGGCATACTGACACCAAATTCAGGGCTATTCCAGTGTCCTACGTCGCTTCCAGGAGTCAGGGAGCTTCTAGTCTCTGACAAAGAGCCATGCTTCCTATGAATATGACACAGCTGAGGAATGGATTATAGCACAAGCCACAGCAAATAATGCATTTTTATTTTTTAAGAATTCAAAGCATAAAATTTGATCTCATTAGGGTACGTCCGTTTGGGATCTCCCACCCAAAGCCAGGGAGATTCATCAGGAGCTCCCCACCCGCTTGATCAGGTCATGTATGGCAACCCCTGCCGTCCTGACTTCACAAAGCTATCAAAAGTGCCAGCTACTCAGACACAGCCTCTGGAAGTAGCAGAAGCTCCCCTCCAGAAGGAAAGCAGTCTCATACGACTAACCAGGTAATGCTTCACGATTCTGTTGGCTCTGGGCTGACTGCAACAAAATTTTAAAATATTTCATCCAGATTTCCAAGTTCCCCTTAGCTGGAGGGTTGGTTTGGATTACCTGGTGCTCCATTACTATCAGCAGACTATCTTTCATGGGTACTGTGACCCAGCTTCTAAATCACCTCAGTCACCAAATGTGGATTGAGGTGAAACCAGATTACTAGTGGCCCCAGTGCTTAGCAAATGTATGTTCTCTCTGGAGGACATGAACTGTTACAGACTGAATGTATCCTCCAAATTTCACGTATTGAGCCCTAACCCCCAGTGTGATGGTATGAGTAGGTAGAGCCTTTGGGAAGTAATTAGGTTTAGGTGAGGTCATGATGGTGGAGCCCCATGATGAGATTAGTGCCCTTATAAGAAGAGACATGAGAGAAATCTTTCTCTCCAACATGTGGAGACACAGCGAAGAGACCACTGTTTATAAGCCAGGAGGAAAGCCCTCACCAGGAATGTAATCAACCAGCACCTTAATCTTGGACTTTCCAACCTTTTCATACTTTTCAGAACTGAGAAATCAATGTCTCTTGTTTAAGCCACCCAGTCTATGGTATTTTGTTATAACAGCCCAAGCTGACTTAAGACAGGAGCACAACCCAAGGCCTCAAATTATTTCTGTTACAATCAAATATCCAGGTATATGAGAAGACCAAATAATATAAATTACATGAATTAAAACCAGAGGGAAGGGCTCCCCTGGTGGCACAGTGGTTGAGAGTCCACCTGCCGATGCAGGGGACGCGGGTTCATGCCCCGGTCCAGGAAGATACTACATGCCGCGGAGCGGCTGGGCCCGTGAGCCACGGCCACTGAGCCTGCGCGTCCGGAGCCTGTGTTCCGCAACGGGAGAGGCCACAGCAGTGAGAGGCCTGCGTACAGCAAAAAAAAAAAAAAAAAAAAATACCAGAGGGGGAAAATGGGCATTTTCCAGATGCCCATGCTCCAGATGTCTCACAGAATTTGAAACACCTGTGCTTTCTGTGTTAAAGGGAAAAAAAGCACGTGCCCAAGAATTTCAGAGAATTAGAAACAATAAAAGGGACCAAGTGGAAATTCTAGAACTGAAAAATATAACAAAAATGCAGAATAATTCAGTGGATGGGCTCAAGAAGAGGTGAAAAGTCAAAGTTACAGAAAATCAAGTTACAGAAAATTTCAACAACGCAATTAGAAAACTTGCAATTCTATAACTTGAGTAAGGTGAAAAGTCAGAGCAAAACCAGAATCAAAAAGATAGGGCTTCCCTGGTGGTGCAGTGGTTAAGAATCCACCTGCCGATGCAGGGGACACGGGTTTAAGCCCAGGTCTGGGAAGATCCCACATGCCCCAGAGCAACTAAGCCCATGCACCACAACTACTGAGCCTGTGCTCTAGAGCCCATGAGCCACAACTACTGAGCCTGTGAGCCACAATTACTGAGCCCGCATGCCACAACTACTGAAGCCTGCACACGTAGAGCCCGTGGTCCACAACAAGAGAAGCCACCGCTTGCCGCAACTAGAGAAAGCCCACGTGCAGCAACAAAGACCCACTGCAGCCAAAAATAAATAAATTTTAAAAAGATAGCAAATAGAGGGTTAAGAGACATGAAGGATACAGTGAGGATATCAAAAGCGTAAAAGAGTGGGATAGTTAAATAAATATTGGCTGAGAACTTTTCCAAAACTCATGAAATATTTCAAACCATAAATTCAAGAAGGCCCAACAAATCGCAAATGGGATAAATAAAACACAATCCACACCTAGACACATCACAGTAAAACTGTTGAAAACCAAAGAAAAGGAAAAATTTTAAAGCTACTGAGGGGTGAGGCATGGGTAGGAGAGGGATTACCATCAAAGGAGCAACAATTAAACTGACAGCTAACTTCTCAGCAGAAGCAGCCTTTGAAGTGCTGAAAGAAAATGACTGCCAACCTAGAATTTTCTAATTGGGGAAAATATCCTGCAAGCATGCGGAAGAAATAAAGACATTTTTACATAAACAGCTGGAAGAATTCATCAGCACACATACCCTAAAGGAAAATTAAAAGTATTCTAAAGGCAGAAGGAAAATGATCCCAAATGTAAGGATAGAGCTTCAGGAAAGATTGAAGAGCAATGAAAATGAGAAATGCACAGGTCAACATAAATACTAACTACATAAAAATAATTATGTCTTGTGAAGTTTAAATATATATCGAAATGTGCTCAAGTAAAGGTATATAGGTGGGGAGGGCTTTAATAGGGTTTAAGTGTTCTAAGCCCCTTGCATCATCCAAGAAGAGAGTTTTTAAAAATCCAATTTAATGTTAGACTTTGATAAGTGTAGGATGTGTATTGTAATAAATATTAGTTAAAAGGTGTATAACTTTCAAGCCAATGAGGGAATATGGAATAATTCAATGAACAGGTTTAAGAACTGTAAAAGGAGGGAATAAAAGAATAGGTGGTACAAATAGAAAGCAGTTTGTAAGATATACATGATAAATCCGTTATTACATTAAATGCAAATGGACTAACTAACACTCAAGTGTTGACAAAGATTGTCAGGCTTGATTTAAAAAGAATTACCATAGTAGTTGTAAGATCTAGGGATGTAATGTACAACATGATAAATATAATTTAATACTGCTGTAAGTTATATATGACCATTGTTAAAAGAATACATCCTAAGAGTTCTTATCACAAGGAAAAATTTTTTTTTCTATTCCTTTAATTTTGTATCTATATGAGATGATGGGTGATCACTAAACTTACTGTGGTAATCATTTCATGGTATATGTAAGTCAAATCATTATTCTGTACACTTCAAACTTGTACAGTGCTGTATGTCAATTACATCTCAATAAAACTTAGAAGAAAAGAATTTAACAGTAAAAAATGAAAATTTAAACAACTATATGCTGTTTACAAGAGACACTTTTAAAACATACTAATTTTGAGGACTACCCTGGTGACGCAGTGGTTAAGAGTCTGCCTGCCAATGCAGGGGACACCGGTTTGAGCCCTGGTCCGGGGAGATCCCACATGCTGCGGAGCAACTCAGCCTGTGCGCCCAACTACTGAGCCTGCGCTCTAGAGCCTGCGAGCCACAACTACTGAGCCCACATGCCACAACTACTGAAGCCCACGCGCCTAGAGCCTATGCCCCACAACAAGAGAAGCCACTGCAATGAGAAACCCACACACCACAACAAAGAGTAGCCCCTGCTCTCTGCAACTAGAGAAAGCCCATGTGCAGCAACGAAGACCCAACGCAGCCAAAAATAAATAATAAAATTTTAAAATTTTTTTAATGAAATCTATTAAAAATTTAATAAAAAAATACGAATTTTGAAAGAAAAGGATGGAGAAATATACACCCAGCAAACAGCAACTATAAGAAACTGGTGTAGATATATTACTATTACAGCAAACTTTAAGGCAAAAACTTTATTAGAAATAAAAACAGTCAATTCAATACCAGAAAGAGGTAGTAATTCTAAATTTTATGCACTTAGTGATACAATCTCAAAATTAAAAGTTGATAGAACTAGGAAATTTTGGCAAATATGCAATCATAGTGAGATTTTAACACATCTATTTCAGTAATAGTAAAAACAAGCATACAAAAATCAAGTTATAGAAAATTTAAACAATGCAGTTAGAAAACTTGGCCAAAGAGATACATGTAGAACACTACATTCAACAGCTTCCTTTTCAAACACAA